TCCATGACTAGTGCTTCTTTTCTTCCTCTCTTACATTTCATTGATAATGTTCTTTACTCCTGTTTTTCTTCAGAGTTCCTTCTTGATTATTTGTTACATCTTGCTCTCAGCCACCACATGCTTCTGTCTGTGTTCTTTAGAAGCAGTGGTGTTCTATATCCCGTTGCCAAAAGCGACACCACTAAAATGTTAATATTGAAAAGAAGGGTCTTTGCTGTCTTATTTAGCTCCGGGCACAACTCATTGTCTATCTATGCTATTTGTCTCAGATGTACACATTACCATATAAGCTCTATAGAGTATTAATGCAATTATGTGTTGAAAGCTCAGTGATAGACATTTTTCATCCATTTGATATTTCTTCTCCAGGCTAAAATCATTTAAGTGATTATAGATCTTTTCTAGGATTCTCTGGAAGAGCCAAATGTAATTAACATACAGTATCATGGGCAGAACTTCATCGTCCACAGTGGATTCCTCTTCCATCTGGACTATATACTACATTTCCTCCATCATAGTGGTGAATGTGTTTGATGAAAACACATTCATGGAGTTCTTCCTCATGGACCTCATGGACCTTCTCCTATGCTTCATTGTAGCATGGAAAGAACCCTGACTTATTGAAATTATGCCACAGAAAGCAAACTCTGGCAGGTTTTTCCATGCTATAAAGGTTTCAAGTAGGGCAAGAAACATTATTTCACGGAGTATTTGATTATCACGTATTAAGGCAAGAGTGATAAGTATTCACAAAAGAGGACCATCATGAAAATTACTGCACATTGTGTAGCAAAATCAGTTGCTAAGGAAGAAGTAGTAAAGAAATCCTATGGAGAACTCGATAAGACCATCTAAGTCAAATCAAAATATATCCAAATTCTTGGTGACCTTAATATAAAGGTAAGAAATAGTCAGAATGGGGAGAACTATATCTGCTGTGGACATCCTTCAGTTTGTCAATGTTCTTCTTGAAAAGATGTTGCCTAGAAATGAACATGATAGTTGTGGTATACTTAGGGCAACTTTCAACTCTAGTATTCTAATAATATGATTAAATATCTATTTAACAGCTATTATTGCATCCTACATTGTTGAAAATTTTTAAAAAGATGATTATGATCTGTTTCCTGTTCCCAAGGAAATTTTGATCTAATAGGAGTTAAATCACATACACACATATACACATATATATGTATATAAATATACATAATATGTATAGATATGGAACATAACTAAAAGATGAAGTGGAATATGAATGCATTAAGAGAAGTACAAGTCGTTACAGTTTAGAGGGGGGAGAGAAGACAATTTTTTATATTAATTTTTTTTCAAGGTCATATACTCCTTTTGGGTATGTTATTTCTTTGTCTCCCCTAAAGCATTCAACACAATGCTAGGCAGTCAATACTTAATATTTACTTGTTGATTGATTGAAGTGTCAGTGGATTAGTTTAAATCTTTTACTCCTGCTGGAGAAGCAGCTCAAAATCTAGTCTTTTGTTGATAGTGGGGCAGTAGAAATATCTTTTCATATAAAGGACCACATATAGCACTTTGTTGGCTTGTATATTCAGGGTGATCTTTCCCTTCCTTGTTGCTTTTCTGATGTAATATCCATGCTTGAATAGACATTGAATGATAATGAGCATTCATGTACTATATAATCTTAGGTAACCTTGAGGTTTGTATCTAATATGTTTTTCAAAAATATGCAATAGCCAATGAGGAGGCTCAGAAATTCTCAAAAATGGACGATTTATTTTTCTAAGTGGCTGAGCATTCTTTTCAATGGGAGCCCCAGATATGACTCTTACTTTGCACATTCTCAAAGACCACATCATTTTCTGGGATGGGCCAACTAGTTCAGCCCCATCTTTTGCTTTGCCCTTATTGACCACCTCTGCTGGCAGAGGTTGTCATGACTTTTTTGGACATGCTCTATCTGCATAGAGAGGATAATTACACTTATTTATTAAGTGCCTATAGGCAAGACAATGTGCTAGGTGCTGGAACTGATGGAATTATCAGTAAAGAAGGTGAAAGGAAAGGATATGAGTATCCAGCACAGAGCCTTGGTGGACAAACATGCTTAGGGGTTGGGGCATCGATGGTAAGCCAGTAAAGGAGAATGGGGAGTTGTCGCAGAGGCAGCAGAAGAAACAATAGAGAATAATGTCCCCAAAACCAAAAGATAAGAGACAAACTTGGTTGAAGGAAGAGGGGACAATGGTGGTGGTGAGGTGACATCAGATACTGCAGAAAGGTCAGAAGAATAATGGTGGAATATTTCGTATCCCCAGTGCCTCATATATGTAAGCATCAGATTTAGCAATTAAGAAATTGTTGGTAAACTTGGACAGGGTAGTTTTAGTTGAGTGGTAAAGGTGGAATGAAGTAAATGAAGTAAAAGGGGAAAAATCAGTTGTGTATTTCTCTTCTCATGTTCACATACAGGAAATGAGAAATTCAGTGAAGCTTTGAAATAATCATTTGATGAATACAAACATTATTCACTTGAATAGTCAACTCACGGAAATCGGGAGGGTAGTCTTTTGAGACATATATAGAAAGTGAATAGTTTATCAGAAGCAAGTTTCCACTATAAACGATTACCTTGAAAGACTGGGGCAGGTATTTTGCAGGTTATTGCATCAATATTTTCTTTCATCTCACTAAAAAATTCCTTCTTTTTTTCCATCTCTCTTCTGCTATCCACTCTTCTTTATATCAACACCAACGGAACACAAAAATCTATGCCTACCATCTCATGACAAATGTCAGCTGTAACAGTGTATGATGGCATTTTACAAAGATGCAAAATACATATATGCAAATTCTCCTTAGCATCCCAAACATTAAAAGAATGAGGAATAGTATCTTACCATATAAATTCATTTCTACTGTCAGAGCCAAGACTTGCATGACCTTGCATCTTATAATTAGGATAGCAAAAGAACTAGTTTTGACAACCAGCCAACTCTATAAAAGAAAAGAAAGAGCAATTCTAAAAGTCAAAAATTGGCTGTTAGACTGAAACATGAGATGAAAAGGAGCTGCCTCTTCCTTCACAAGCCAAACTCATCATTACTGACTCCCTATCGAATGACACCTTTAGGAACTTATATTTAAAAACCAATAAGAAATAAGGAGGTGAAGTTGTCAAACAAAGCTTGGGCTTTCATGCAAATGTCTTTAGTAATTAAGGGGAGGGTGCTAAATACACCATATTCTGTGTAAGCAGAATTGCTGCTAAATTCAGTGGTATTTCTATGAGGCAACAGCTGCTCTTAAAGGAGGGCTGTCAATGTTGATAAGTTACTTTTAAAACTAAATCTGCTTGCTGAGCTCATGTTCTTTTGAAAAACCATAAAGAACAAAAGCTTTAATGCATTTTTCTTTTTTTAATAATAAAAAAACTCTCTCAAGAATTGCTAGGAAAAGCAGAATTTAAAAAGCCCGCAACCTAGTGGGATTCTAAAGCAAGCCCATTTACAAGTGAGAAGGAACAAAACGCAAAAATGAAGTTAGAAGTTGAGAGGCTCTAAGAAATTATTATGATCTGCAAGTAACATTTTAAAATTATGGAAAGTACCATGACAGCATTCTTGAAGAGAAACTGCTGTGGTCTTTATGGGAATGACTCATTTTAAAGACTGTGATTGATTTTGAATTGTTCTCCTCTGGGGCTTTGGCCCAGAATGAACTGTTTGCTCTAAGGTTGTTTGTCATGGTGATTGCTCTGGCCTGAGAATACTTGGGATTGATGTCTTTTTTTTTTTTGTGATGCAAAATGTGGACAGTTCATTTGGCAAAAGTAGCACAGCCTACTTCTACTTCCTGAGGAAAGACAATGTTGTCTAGTAGAGTGTGCTTGGGATTCAGAAGCCAAAGAGCTGGGCTTCAGTCCTAACTCTGACATTAAACGGTTCTGTGGACATGAGCAAGTTCATTAACATGTTAGCATTGTTTTTCTCCTCTTTGAAATTGATGAGATATTGCTTGTACTACCTGCCTCACTGTATTATTGTAAGAAAAATACATAGTGAAATGAAAATTGCTGTATATGGGGATGTGTAACCTGGACAGGGATGTGATCACTGTCTTCAAGTATTTGAAGGGCTCTCATGTGAAAGAGAAGGAGTCTCCTTGGTTCCAGAGGGCAGAATTAGTGCCAATGAGGCAAAATTTGGCTGATGTGAAGAAAAACATCCTATGAATTAGAGCTCTGGCAGTAGTAATGTTGTTGTTATTGTTCGGTCATTTTAGTTGTGTCTGACTCTTTGTGGCCCCATTTTGGGTTTTCTTGGCAAAGATACTGGAGTGGTTTGCTATTTTCTTCTCCAGCTCAATTTACAGCTGAGGCAAACAGCATTAAGTGACTTGACCAGAGTCACAAGGCTACTAAGTGTCTGAGGTCAGATCTGAACTCAAGAAGATGAGCCATCCTGACTCTAGGCCACTGTGCCATCTAGTTGCCCTGTAGCAGTAGTAGTAGTAATAATAATAATAATAATAGAAATAATCATAATAATGATAATGATAATAGACAACAATTTAAAAACATTTTAACATTTGCAAAGCATTTTACAAATACTCTCTCATTTTATCCTCATAACTCTGGGATATAGGTGCTATGATTGTCCCCATCTTATAGAGGAGAAAACTGCAGAGAGATTAAGGGTCACAAAGCAAATGAATGTCTGCGGCTGGATTTGAACTCAGGTCTTGCCTTTCAGGTCAGCACTCTAGCTACTGAGCCACTTAGCTGCCTAGCTGAAGGTAAACTGGAATAGGATGCCTTTGGAATTAGCAGATTCATCATCTTGCTAAGATTTTTGTTCAGACTGTGCTAGATGGTTTCTGAAGTTTCTTCTAACTATGAGAATCTCTCATACTGATTGTATGATAAGCACATGGGCTATATTTATCAAAGGTAAAATTAAGATGTTTTTAGTGGAATTTTAACTTTTCCTTAACATGTCTCTCTGTTTACCCTATAGCCTTATGCAACTCCTGATATCAACCCTCTTGAGTTAATATTACGCTCTATTCTGGTGTTCCATTTGATGCTGGATATCACCTAGACACACCTGACTCCTTGGTGTGATCAAACTTTTCTTATTCTACATTCCATTTGCTGGGTACTGTTTTTTAATGAGGTAAGAAAATCTGATAGAATCATAGAATGTAAGCATTGGAGTTGGTCTTAGAGATCAACTTGTCTTATCTCCTCCCCAACATAGGGATATATTCTATGATATTCATGGCCATAGCTACCTGCTCCCTTTCTCAGGTCTCTCTCCAATCCAGCCTATGCTCCACACATCTGTCAAGGTGATTTTCTTCAAGTTTAAAATGGGCCGTGTCACTTCCCTATTCAATAAACCCCAGTGGCATCCTGTTTATTCTAGCATCGATCAGATATTATTTTGTCTTTTTATTATTTCTATTTTGGAGTGAATTTTGTGATGCTTATGATTATTAGTATAGTAGTACATATGTAGAATTTATAAATAAATGAATATATATATATTTTTTGAGGGTAGAAATTCAGAAGTATTTTAGGTATTGGATTGTGATTTAAATGATTTGAAGACACTGAACGTCTTGAGAGGGTCATATGACTTTTGCCATTCACATGTGTTTGTAAGGAATTTTTTTTTAATCTTTGCACCAATATGGTAGTTGATATTAAATCCATGCCTTACTAGCAAGTTAGAATTCACTCTTTTGGTCAATGAATCCATTGCTTCTAATAAAAGATTTTTTAAGTCTTAAAGTGGTATGACCAAGAAGTAACTACTCTGCTAAAAGTAATTTGGGGCAGAGGAGCACAAGATTCTGCTGCAAGAGAAGGTCCCTTTAGCCTTCCTTATCTCTATTATTCTGAAGAGGTTGAGTGGAGTGCCTAGAGCTTTCTCTGTAATTGGTTCCTGACAATTTTCCTCCCATTCAACCAATGGTACATTCAAAATTTTGAGCAAATACCAAATTAAGTTAGGGAACTGGGACTATATTCCATAATTTCAGTGGTGCAAAAGAGTAGCTTGGCTAAAAGCAACTTTTCAGATAAACTTTAAAAATAAACCAACATAAATAACAATGCAATTTTTGGTATATAAACCTTCTCATCAGCCTCCAGAATTCCTTTTATTTATCTCGTTTTCTTGGGCCAACTGCTTCTCCAAATCTCCTTAGCACAATGTGGAGAATATAGTAAGGTACTTAACAAATTCGTGTTTCCTTCCTTCCTTTTCTCTTGTGGCTGAACTAAAAGAACAGAGGTGCCTACTAGCAGAAATACCCTGAGATATCACTATCTCTTCTTCCCTTCCTTATGCCTCTCAAGTCACAAATTTGAAAGTTTTTTTGGGGGGAAAAATTCCATTCAACAAGTTTATAATGAGTGCCTTTCATATACCTAGCACTGGGCTCATACCACCATAACAAAACAAAGAAAGTCTGGAATAGTTCTTACTAATACAGGGTTTATTAATCAAGCCCCAAGGAAAACGAAATGTGTTGAAGCCGCTTCATTGATTGACCTTCATTAGGCTAGTCCTTATTTCTCTGAGGTGCTAGGCCTATGGAAACTTGTGAGCCAGGTTCAAATTCAGTGATTTGATACATTTTATATCAGTATCAATATTTTTTTTCAACCCAGAAGAGAATTGGGAAAAAAAAATCCTGTTTTTTGAAGCTATGTTACATTCATAATTAACAAAAGACAAAACTCCACACATGTGGAAAAAAGAAAAGTCATATGAACTTCCTGTCTTTCCATGCCTAATAGATGGGTAGCTTCCCTGGCTTCCTTCAAACATCAGCTAAAATCCCACTTCGGCAAAAAGAAAGCAAAACAAAACAAAACAACAACAACAAAACCTTTTCTGATCCCTCCTTAATTCTAGGTCTTCCCTCTGGGATAACCTCTAATTATAATCAATGTACCTTTTACATACATGGATGTTTGTAAGTTCTCTTCCACATTAGAATGTGAGCTCCTTGAAGGCAGACTCATTTTGTTTTTCTTTGTATTTCCCACTCTTAACACAGTCCTGTGACCTGATCCCTGCTTAATAAATGTTCCTTGGCAGATGAGCCAAAAGAATTTTTTTTGTTGTTTTTTGGTTACACTATGGGGTTAAGTGACTTGCCCAGGGTCACACAGCTAGTAAGTGTTATGTGTCTAAGGCCACATTTGAACTCAGGTCTACCTGAATCCAGGGGCCAGTGCTCTATCCACCTAACTTCCGCATGGACCAAAACAATTTAAAATCAAGTATCCTTGCTGAAACAGTTAAGTTTTGGGAGTGAGTGAGACATATTGAAAAAGTACAGATCATAGAAAGGCATTGGGTGTAGGCATGGGACAAAATTAGTCATGGGGAGAGAGGATGTGTGCCTCTAGGTAGAGAAAAGCAAGGTAAACTAAAAGGAAAGATCCATCCTTTCCTTGTAGGTTTATGACTGGTTTCTGGTGACAGGTGCCACAGAAAAAGAAACGATCCTTTGTGGGCATGATCAATGAGAATGGATTAAGGGATCTCAATGTCAGGTCCCAATAAAGATTCTTTAAAATTTATTGCCCCTGACCTATAAGGCCTGAAAGTTTTTTCTCTTGCTCTTACCATATTTGCTCAGATCTCCTGCTGTATTTGTAATCCTATATTTTCCCAAGCACTGCTAATGTTTGGATTCAGAATCTGGGTTAAAAAGTCAATTTCAGGTTATATCAAGTTCAGTTCACCTCGATCATCAGAGTGCATCCATTTCTTCTTTTTCAAAGAAAGGATTGTCTGCTGGCATAATAGGGTCACCTCTTTTTCACTCTCTCCCCAACCCTTATTGAGGATTTAATACAGGACAGGGACACCTGGGCCAGTCTTCCTACCCCCACTGGGCTTCTCTCTCTATTTCCCCCCCTGAGACTGAGGGGAAGGTTTGTTCTATTAGTTTTGTGGATATTTTTTATTCTGTTATTCCTGTTCTTGCAAAATTGTCGCATTTCAAAGTGGTCTATTTTATACCAGGCGACAGAGCCCTCCAAAGCAGCTCCAGAACGTTTGTCTTTTCTATCTAGAGATGTGAGGTCAGCAAGGCAGGGGAAGGCAAGACAGATAAACACAGAGGAATGCGCAAGATCGTCTCGGCAACGCCTCACCAATGAGGTTGCCAAAGTACTGCCGCAGGATGTCCTTGAAAACGCGACTGTGCTTGAGGTAACCTTTGAGAATGAGTGTGTGCTGCCAATGCAACATAATGGGTTTTCTGTCTTTATTTATATGACATTATTAAAATGAATGTAAAGTAATCTGCTCTAATGTCCTGTCTTTCTTCTCACTGAGTCTGCTTGACAGGGGTGCAGAGGGGAGAGAAGGCTGCTCTTATTTGCTTTCTGATGAACAAATGCAAAAGTAAATCTTCGTTATGAAACTCCTTTGGATGAGGGTATTTCAGATATTAAACCTTTACATCTTACCTTCCAGCTCAACCACATTGCACTGAAAAAACTTTATAAGATGGCATTTCACACTGCACATTTGATTTCAAAAGTCTAAATGTGTTCAGGCTTTATAAGTATTTAAGTGGTTTTCGTTCTGGGAAAATCAACTACATAAAGCATTCACTGCTCGATTAATCATAGGACAAAGAAAGTTAGAGCTAGAAGAGTCTGGAAGGAGAAATCCTTTTGTCTGATTCCCTCATTTTGCAAAAGATGAAACTGAGGTCCTGATGTGCTCTTTGCTCAAGTAGGTGTAGCTAGTGTCAGAGCCAGGACTAATAACTCCACACATATTAATACAATGTTACTGTGAAATGCAGTCCAGGGATTTGTAAGAAATTCCTTGGGTCAAAATATGCACTTCATTTTAATGGCCCATTGGTTTTTGTCTAGGAACAAAGATTTAAAGTTGCAATGGATCTCAGAAACCATTTAGTTCAAGCCCTCCCTGCCCCAGACCCCTCATACAGATGGTGAAACTGAGGGACAAGGAAAGTAAGTGACATGCCCAAAATCACACAGGTAGTAATCATGAAAGGATGTATTTGAACCCAGGCCTATTGACTCCAAAATAACTCTGTTCACCTGAGTGCAATGTCTCTCTTCTTAACTAAAGCAAAAGTAAAGAGTAGACCTTAATAGGTTAAATGATCATAAAGCTAGATCTGGAAGGGAACTTAGAGGTCAGTTAAGTTCAACTTCCCCATTTTACAGATTGGGAAACTAAGGCCCAGCGAGGCTAAGCTACTTATTCAGTGTTACAGTGCAGTAGGAGGCAGAGGCGACATTCATATTCATATCCTATCATTCCAAGTTTGGTGACCTTTCCAAAGCCACATATTGTCACCTCAGTTTTTTGGGGGGAGTTTGGACCTACGATTTCATTAGCTTAGGGAACTCTCCACATCAATTGGCGATTGGCCTTATAGGGACTCCCAGAGTCCTGAGTGGTGCAGTAATTTGTTAATGATCACAAAGCTAATGTCAGAGGGAGAACTTGAATCTGTATCTTCCTATGTTCCGAGGCTGGCCCACTACCTGCTATACCACACTGCCTCTCTGCTACCTCATTATATCATCATTACATCTTGCATCATCCATGATGTCATTGGTCCTCATTGAGAGAGAAGGACAAACAACAACACATGCAGAAAAATGCCTGGGAGGGGGTAGGGAGAAGTATGTCAATTTATACACAGGGAGTCACATAAGATGATATATGGAAGACAGTATGGATTTGAAGAGGCTAAACAATTAAAGGATGCTTTCTGCCTCTTGTGTGACAAACATTTACTAGTGGCCCAGAGATGGATGGTGCCTAGATGGAGGTATAATATCACAATTTACGCAGAGTTTTCACTTGCCTTATCTTTTTATTGCTGCTTAAAACTTCTTCATTAAAACTTCTTCATTAAAACCAATCTCAGGGGCAACTAGATGGTGCCTGGATTCAAGAGGACCTGTGTTCAAATTTGATCTCAGACACATAACACTCATTAGCTGTGTGAGCCTGGGCAAGTCTTAACCCCAATTGCCCTCACCAAAAAACAAAACAAAACACACACACACACACACACACACACACACACACACAAAACAAGCAAACAAAAAATCCCTCAGAAATAGGCAATCTGCTGCAAGGGAATTCTTTTTTTTTGCAAAGCGCTAGAGACATGTAGGTGGTGTTGCTTCAGTAAATCATCTTGAATATTACTGTAAATACTACTGTGGATATGTTAGAAATAAACCTTCAATAATTTACACATCCAAAATATGTTGCCTTTCCAAGTAGTCACCTTGGCAGGCCAAATGCTTATTCCTGTGATGATGTCATTGCTCAAAATGTTCCAGAATACCTCTTTGGGAAATGTCTACATAGCTAGTTTTTAAAGCCCATGGGAACCATCTCTCATCTCTCTTGGTATTTTATGGTCATGTCAGATACTCAAATCATTCCACAACACTACTGTGTTGTGAAGATTAAGTATGGACATCACAAGGGAACAATACAGATTTTTGTGCTTTTTTTGGAGTGACAAAGTAAATCACTCTGATAAAGCACTGAATGCCACAGACAAACTCAACAATGTATAGGGGACATGCTATCCTTAGCTGTGTACTCTCCCTACAGTTATGGACCTGAATTTTATTCCCTCTGGGATCTTGTATTTTCCCCAAGACAGGCAATAGAAAAAGAAGGTAAAGAAAAGAAAGAAGACCCTTTGCTCAATGGATGTAAATATAAATATATTGCCACTAAAGTGGTGTGTAACTGCAATCTTCTGAAGCTACACAAAGCTTATGTTCCTTGATAACTGGAATGAAGGTAACGAAAATACAGGAAACTATTTCTGTACTTAGATACATGAGCCTTGGTGTCATTTCTTTTGAACTATTTAATTGGCATAAAAGCAGTTAGTGCTACACATTGACTCTCTTGGAGTAAGTAGAAGCACTGGAAGACTCTCTAATCAAGGGGATTCCAGAAAGACAGATCATTTCAGTACTCATCCACTCTAGGGGAAATACACTAGATTTCTTGTAGGAGAATGTGCAAGCTTCTTGAGGACAAGAACAGTGTTAATTTCATCTTTGTAACCTTGCACAAGGTAAAAGATAAAGCTCATAGCTGATAGACTTAAAAATAAAATTAGGATTCAATAATATTTATCAGCTTAGAGAATTGGAGAAGGCTTATGTGAGACATGATTACTGTTTTCAGATATTTGAAGGTCTGTCATGTGAAGGGTGGCACAAAGCACCTAGGTGGCACTGTGGATAGAGTGCTGGGCCTGGGGTCAGAAAGACCTGAATTCAAATCTGGCCTCAGACTTACTAGCTGTGTGAGCTTGTGCAAGTCACTTAACCCTATTCACCTCAGTTTCCTCATCTGTAAAATGAGCTGGAGAAAGAAATGGAAAATCGTTATAGTATCTTTGCCAAGAAAACCCTAAATGGGGTCATGGAGAGTCAAAAATGACTGAAAAAAAAGGACTAAATATGTGTTAGAGATTTCTTCAGCATGGCCTCAGAAGGCAGAGCAGGTAGAAAGGAGTGGAAATTGCAAAGAGGTAAATTTAGGCTTAATGAAAGAAAAACTTACAAATAATCAGTGATGTCCCAAAGTGGAATGAGCTGCCTCAGGAGACTTATTTTGTGTTCCTTATAATGTTCTATGGAAGTCTTCAAAAAAGTTGGATTAGTAACTGTTGGTTAAATTGTAGAGGGAGTACTTACCCTTCTCCCACATTTTAGTGCCTCCCACTGCTCACATAGCTCATTCTCTGAGCTGGCTTGTTCACTCCAACTTGCCCTCGTAGTGGCAAGTCTCAATTCTCATAGAAAGGCCACCGCCTTTTATGAGAGGTTACACAAAGCCAAACACTCCCCAAAGATCCACTTTAGCTCTCATGATAACACTTCTAGATTTAAAACATAAGTATTAACTTACTAGTAAAGCAAAATAAATGACAATAATATCACAGTTACTCATTTATTATACAAAGTGTGGGAATAATAACAAATCACAATTAACCAAGAATCTGTATCATGCTCTCCTACCAAAATACTCAGTATCTCTGGGTGAGATTGGGCACATGTAGATACCTGTCACTGATGAAAGCCCATGTGCTGTGGGTAAGTCACAACTTTGGATGGGAGGCTCTGATGTTATTGGTTGATTTAGGAATATCAGCACCACTCAAAATTATTATTTTTCTGCTAACTTCTCCTCTTTTGTTCTTTGCCAGCTGGGAAAAATCCTCTTCTCTTCCACTCTGGAATCAACACAATGTTTATAAGAGCTTTTAACTAACAATCACTTTTAAAAGTACACCGAGTGTTAGATTCTTAATTTAGCTAGCAATTCCCTTTAAGCCAGAGAACTGTAAATCTCCCCAAGCTGGCTTGTTCTGGGCAATTCAGACAATCCTAGTTAACAATTTACTCACTAAATGTCACATCAACCAATCAGTCTGTAGCAAATAGAGCTCTTGGGAAAAAATCCAAAAAACCAAAAAAACAAAACCAAAACCAAAAATGAACAAACAGACAAAAAAACCAAATCAAAACAACAACAACAATGACAAAACAAAAACCAAAATTAAAAAAAAAAACAAACAGAAGCGCTAAGGTTAACTCTCTGAGCAAGGCAGACAAGCCCAACCAGCTTTTCACTCACCGGGATGCTGTGCCGACCAAACAGCTTGTAACAAACAGCTATCTGTAAAGCAACAGCAAAGTTGCTTTCTCTCTCTCAAGCCATAAAGAAGAGGGCAATTGGCAACTGAGAGGCTTCAGTCTCTTCTCTCTAACTAAGTACTGAAGGTATGGAAGGGCAATATATGACTAAAGGCTCATCAGATGAGTTCTCATCTGTCTGATTCCTGCTCTTGCTATCAGTTTCTTTATGCAGCTCAGATGTAGCTGGTGTTTCTACTTCCCGCTTGGTCTTTACAAAGCTCTTGCTCTATTACAGCCAGACTTCTTCAATTCCTCTTCACCTTGCACTTTTAGCAGTTCAATTCAGAGCCTCTTAGTAAGTATTTTGAGAATCACATTTCCCTCATAAGGCAAAACCTCAACCAATCTACCCTATGAAATCAACAGCCCTTATTTAATCACCTCAAGGTCTCCAAGCAGTAACATGCAAATGAGCTGAGGGACCACAATGCTCCTGCAAACTCCAAC